CTCATATTACAGGTGATATAATAGAGGTTCACAGAGTTTAATAGTTTGCATAAAGTCAAAAAGCTAGTAACACCGGACTCCAAGATGGCGTGAGTTGTACCACTGAAGGAGAAGAGGCTCATGGAGGTCAAACTAGGGGAGCTGCCAAGCTGGATACTGATGCAGGATTTCACCCGTAAAGGCAGTGCTGGAGCGGTTCAAAGAATTTACTACCGGTATTACAACAAGTGTGTCAATGCGAAGACAGGGAGTGCTGCTGAGGTTTCTATGGTGCTGGCAGCTGTATGTGCTTTTTAACTACTGCTGTTCTTGTAAGGAACTCAAAACATGAGCAGCGACCCAAGTACCACTGAAGAGGACCCAGTGTGGATTCCATATTCCTGACCATTATCTTTGCATCAGAATTCTTTCATATTGTCATTAACACCTAATAAAAGATGGCTAGTCCTGGGGGCGGGGGAGTGAATAACAACTGGACCTAGAGATCCAACCCAAGTTGAATCAGACTCCAAAGCCCATGCTCTTACCACTAATCATGTTAAATCTGCAAGAAAAACTCAATAAATCTATGTTGAACAGATATCTGTTCTACAACTAGTTGCATATGCCAACACCTTTGGTCTCAAGGACAAGACTAGCCTTTTCTGCTTTCAACAGTGTCTTTATTTTTTTCCTTTTCAAAGTAAAAAGCACTTAGTAAAGAATAAATAGTTTCCTTATAAATATAATTGCTCTTTTAACTTTACAAGATTTCAAATGATGTATCTATTCTATTTAAATGTAAATTGTTCTCAGTTACACAGAAAGGAACCAACTACAAATAAAAAATGAGTTTATATTTCAGTCAGATAAACAGAAAAAATACATGGGGCCTTGAAGATGTTTTCCTTGCCTTGTGAAGATATCGAAGCTCTTCCAGCATATAACCACCTGTCATTTTATCCTTCCAAATGGGAAGAATTATTAATCAAATCCCTTCAGGTAGGGGGAACCAACACACCTAGTGTGCTGAGGGCTTTCCCAGTTTTAGCACTCAAAGTCCTGCATCCTGGGAACCTCCTTAGTCCCAGGAAAACCTGGAGAACTGATCACTCTGCAGCCTCAGGGTATACCATATAAATGCACAGTTACGTTTTTAACAAAATGCATTAAAATGTAGGCAGTGTATTATACTCAACTGGAGATGAGCATATTATAATATGATTTTAAAATATGTGAGCGGCTAGCAAAAAGAAATTATAAAGTTTTATATAATTATACTTAACCAAGAAAATGTTGCTGAGAACATCAAAAGTTTGTCAAATCTTTCATTGAGATGATATTCAGTATGTGCACCCAATTAAAAAAAAATGGGCTCTGGACAGTATACACACTGGACATTTTGTCTACATATAAAAATGAGAAACTATATAAGGAAAGAATGAGAAAGGAATCAAATTTCATCCAAGGTTTTAAAGTATCTCATCTCTGCGACATAGTGGAAAACTCTAATTTTGATGTTTCAGTTTTGTGGTATCACGACAGGTTAAAAGCTCTTGTACAAGTAGAAACTGGAAATCTGTAGATTTAAAGAGCTTGGACTGGGCACATCTCTCAAAGGTCCTTTCCAGTTTGAACATTCCATGACTCTGTGTGACCCCTTCACGGATGACCTAAGTCAGGCCAAAGTTATACCATACCAACGGTCCAGCTCTGGCTGGTGACGGAGGCTGGACTGCTTATTAGCTACGCTTTCGTCTTAAGTATGATTAGAAACACTTAGAACCAAAGGAGTATATGGTCAGCATGGAAAGATAAATGACACATTTCACCTCATGTGGGGTATTTTATTTAGTTTAGATCATAAACAGATAAACTGGCCTCAAGTTTAAAGAAAGGACTTTGAGTCCACAAATTCTTTAGGCTGTCATTAGTTACTCCAACCATAATACTGCACAATATTCTGAATGCATATAGTGTTTGTTTTCATGAACTCTCTAAACAAGCCAAAGAAATGATCACAGTAAATTGAAAAGATGACAAACATCTCTGTAGCCTGAAGGACCTTCAAAATTCAGAAACAAATTATAAATTCAAAATCAGAAGAAATTATTGCTGTTGTCCAGTTGTCCTAGCATTGGTTCTTATAAGTAAAACAAACAAGTCTGTAGTTTAAGAAGGGCCAATAACAATGACAAAGATTAGTGTTTATTCTGACAGCCTGATTCTTATCACTGAAAGAGATTATAAAAGAACACAGAAGTCTACAGGCATTTAGTTCAATAAAAAATCTGCTACCTTCAAGGGGAAGTATGCATTTTTCTAAGTGGCAGCTGCACACTGAGTTGTTTTTTAATCACGCTTTTGATATGCTGATCCATCTGTATGCCAGCCCTGTGCCTCCACAACCAAAGGTACTGACCATTTACAACTGGTTTAGGGGTACAATCTATGGCTGTGGTGCAAACCAAGTCTTGTTGATCCAAACCACTCTACCTTGGCCACACTGGTACCCCTTCCCAAGAAGAGGCAGCAGTGTATATATTCTTCCAAAGGCCGGGGCTGCTGTGCTAAGGGATCTTGGACAAATCACTGAAACCTCTCAGGCTCTCAGTTTCCTGTTTCCCTCATCTGTGGAATGGGGTTAATAATCTCACATATTGTATGTCTATAAAATCAAACTAAAAATAAATGTATTTAAAAATACTTGAAAGAACTTTGTAAATTACAAAGTTATAATACAATACATTATTTAAACATCTGAGTTGGCAAAAGAATATACCTCTGACATAACAAAACTGCCTCCTAAGGATATATGAGTTCGTATATAACATCACAAAAACCAGTAAAACAATATTTAAATACAAATAAATAGTTATCAAATTAAAAAGACAAGTCAAGTAAAGCACTACAAATTACAGATAGGTAGAATCCTTTAGTGTCACAGCAGTTAGAATGGTGTATTACTTGAACGTCATGCTGTAAATCACACAGGTGATCTTTATTATTTAATCCTCACCCACGAATATATATTAATTGACTTGAGACAGGGGAAGAGAGAGGAACATCAGTGCACAGAGTGATGTCCAGCCAACTGAGCCACCCGGCCGGGGCCAAAGGTGATCCTTTTAATGCCAATTTCACACATGCCCTCACAGGCATTCAAGATAAAGGCATTCATTAACCATTAACTATGTGCAAGTACAAGTTCATTTTTCCAATACTTCAGTGAAAACACTTTTTATTTGTATGCCTTTCAATCTAAAATGCACAGATCAACACAGTCCTCCTGCTACGGCCATATTCTAGTGTACATAAAAAGAGACATGAAATGAAAGAAAAAACACTATTATCCATAGCTATCTACTACTACAAAGAAAATGCAGAATGAAACAACCAAATTAAATGCAAACAGTACTTTCCGAAGCACAGACAAAATGTTCTTAAAATTCCCATCAGTTTCCCAAAACTCACAAATACCCAAAGTAATAAAAATATCCTTTTTGAACATGATTATATCAACTGAAGCACAAATAAAAGCCTTTGATGGACTGCTTATGTTAAGATGTCCTTCACACATTTATAATTAAACTAATTTTAAAATTAAATTTTGCAATCCAAATCTATATAATATAATTTGGAATCATCAGTGAAAATAAGGGTATGAGAAATGCACTAAATATTTTCATCTCTTGGAGACTTAACCAAAATCCTTGCAGCAAGAAAATCTGCAAATGTACTGAAATAAAATCTTTGAAAATTGTAACTATATTCTAATTTGTTTAAGAAAGTTTTAATTAAGTGAATCTCGTTTCAATTCTTATTATAGACAGGTATACTTGCCCTAACATTTCTCTAATAGACCTAATATTTACTTGCAACAAAATCAGACTATTCTGGAATATAGGCAATCTTTTCTTTTTAAAGATTACATAATTTCTTTCTAAAAGATGTTGATGTCTGTGGCAAAATCAAAACCAATGTAAGTGAAAATATAAATGGAACTTCTAGATATCCATTTTTAACAAAAATGGAAATATTCATACTTTTCAGAGAGCTCTATATAAAAAAAAAACTTTCTCGATAAATTAATCAGACTTATCAAACACTACATGTTAAGCCACAGTAAGCCAGGTGAGTTATATTATAACATACAGAACAACCTGCAGCTAAGGCAAATACAAGAACTAAATGATGTTCTGAAGCTTAACTTTTTTCATTCTCGTAATACATATTTTCCAGATTCAACTAAGGTGTGAGGCATCAGACTCTAGAGCCCATAGAAATGTATTTATCTCAACTACCAGAACCCTATCGAGCTCTGTTCAGTTGGGGTGGGGAAGGGACAGATACCTGAGTACAAAGTCTGAAAAGCCTGCCATAATACCCATCTTACCAACCAACCGACCACAGTACAGAAAACTCAAGAAAGCACGGGCTTCCACGACCCGCCCCACCTTGCTACATTCTTTTGCTTTTTCCATTCCTTGGTTAACTTTCAAGATAAAAGGAGAGAAACCTGTTAAAATGGATTTTTAGAAGATAAATGCTATAGATGAAGCAGAAATAAGTTGCTCTAAAGAACCCATTCATTTACGTACAAAGACGATACGCCCACGAGTATTCCGGTCAGTGAAGATGAAACCTATGATTTGCAGAGAAGATGGGATCTAAAACAAATCCCAGAGACGGTTTCTCTCCCAAGAGAAATAATAAAAATACTGTGGCTCTACTCCCAGGGACCTTCAGACGGGGGCTACGTAACTCGCGAGATGCGGAAATTCAAAGGAAACCCTGCCACTCAGAAGTGCAGCATCTCCACTAGGAGGCAGGACTCGGGACCGGAATCCCACCCACAGCCCGCTCTACTCAGCCGACAGTCCAAGCAACCCCAGGCCGGGGTCCCACCCGGAAACCGAAGAGCCGCGAATGGGAACAGCAGGACGGAGGAAGCCACTTCGCTCGAGACCCCAAAGGCCTCACGTTGCTCTGGAGGCTGGCGGCGGGACTCACGGACTCACCTGACGCTGGGGACCGCTGGTCGCCGGCTCTGGCTCCGCTGCCTTTGCTGTTCCTTCTCTCTGAGCCGCAGCGCCCCCACGCAGCGGGAGTGGCAATAGCGGCAGATGCTTGGGTTCCTCCGCCCCCGGCTCCGTCGCGCCAGCTCCTCCGAGGGCGCTAACAGTTGCAGGCAGCTCCTTAGCGCGCGCCTCCTCGCCATCCTTGGAGCGAGCTGTTGCCGGGCCCGCGGGTCACCCGGCGCCCCAGTGCCGCGCGGGGCCCATGCCGCAGCTAGGTTTGCTCCACGTTGCCTGGTCACTCACTCATTGTGACCTTCGAATCTGGTCCCCCGCCAGCGTCGGCACCGCTGGCCGCTGCCCCGGTCTTTACCAAGATGGCGGACCCCGCCGCCGAGGCCATCTTGGTTAAGGAGGCGCCTGGGTGCCTGCGGGGCTTTAGCCCAGTCCCTACGCTCCCGGCGCCTCACGCACCCTCTCCTGAAGCCTTTAAGTCCAAATTAGTTACCCAGCCCTAAATCAGAAGATAGCTTTCAGTTCTCTTGAACACCAGCCTAACTGCTAAAACTAAGACCGTGGTGGCCTCCTACAGCTTGCGCATTCATAATAGACAAGCATCTGGTAGCAGCATACTTAACCTATGGCGCCAGGAGCCTGGTAACGAAGAAGCTAAAGTGTAATTTGAAGTTTACAGTAGATATTGAATATTAATGGCAGCAATGCCTTGTCAGTGTGTCATTAACTTTTAAAATGATGCCATAGCCTTCTGGTACCCATGGTTCTCCTGAAAACTTGCTTTTTTAAAAAAAATTTCAGAATAATGTCAAGAGTATAAAATTGTGATTCTCCCAGAATTTTCTTTCTTTTTTCATTTGTAAGCTTTTTCCCCCCCATCACCATTTATTCCCCCGCTATACCCACTAGGGTTTCTTTTTTAAGATGCAGGATGAGATTAGATATTTCAAGAAATGATTTAAGTATAGACAGAGAAATAGAATTCAAAACAGGCTGGATGGGCAAAAAGATTCCTCTATAAAGTCATCTGGGGTGTGACCACGGGCCAGAAAGAAATGCCCTCTGTCTGGGGCTCAGGTCTGTCTATTGGCATAAAGAAATACAGGTCCCCAGATGCAGACATGACTATTGGGAAAGGCAAGCCAAACTAATTTGCAGTTTGAAAGTGAACATGACTGTGTGATACTGTAGAAATATAAAAATGATTATGCTTGGCATGAACATTTACCCCTCAGGCTAGCTTGTGGTTGTTGCTAAATCTCATTGACTTAAGCGTGAGTAAGAACTGGAGCGCCTGGGTGGGGCAAAGGCTGCACTTGCTGAATGGTACCTGAGGTGCCAATGGAAAGGGGGGGGTGCCACACCCCAAAGGGTATGGTGTTACCTGGCTAAGAAACTTTAGAAAGATGAGCTTTGTCTCCCTCACCCCAATTCTTTATTAGGAAAATATTCAAAAATACAGAAAATAGACATGCCTTTTTGTATACTGTTTGAATATGTAGAAGACATCAAAACACCTCATCACAAAATACTGCAGACTGCCTCTCCTAAGAATAAGGACATTTGTTTCAGAATTGCAATGCTATTATCACACCTAAGAAGACAATTTCCTGATATTTAATGTTCAGTATACAGTCAAGTTTCTATGATTGTCGCAAGAATATCTTTCATAGTGGGGTGTAGTTAGGAGATTTTTTTTTGTTTGATTGGTTTTTGTTTTGCTTTTGTTTTCACTAGGATACTGTCTGTGGTCATGTATTGCATTTGCTTATTTTGCTTAAGTAGCGATTTAAAATATTCACTAGATAAGTACTATTTTCTTTATATATAATACTCAGATATTCTAAATAGACAAATTCACAGGGTGTTTTTATATTAAGAGCAGGTGCTTTAGATAAGCACATCTCTGTATACCAGGAAAGTCTAGGAGCAAAGAGTAGTCTTTTAACACCATATTGCGTTATAACTGAAATTGAATTAAATAGTAATGTTTATGCTTTACTATCTCCTGGAATACATAAACTTAATAGATTGTATTGGAATCTATACTGAACCTGATTTCTAAAAGTTTAATGATTGGGGTTTTTTTCTCAATAATGAAAAGAAGCTGTTAAGTATAATTTATATCACTCCAGGCGAAACCTTTAGATTGCCCTGCTTCAGAGTACAGAACAAAATGAACATTGCACGCTCTGCATTTTACTCATGGTTTAATTTTAGATCCTGACCTGCTGAACTGGGTTTTATTTGACCTTCCTTTTATGTACCTCTAGGAAGTCAGGAACTCAGCAGATAACAGGTAACTATTTGTCTTTTAAGTTGTTAGTTAATTTTTAAATGTTAATTAATGCTGTAAAGAAAAGGTGCAGATTTACACAATTCCTTAAAAGTGACTTGTGGCCAATGTAACTTTTTTTCTGTAGACTAGAATTAAGAATAAGATTATTTTCATACTTCACAAAATATTAGGTGCTACTTAAACTCCTTCTGGGGAACCACAGTTAAAACAGTTTTAGCCTAGTAGGTCTCACCTGTAAAGTGAGTTCTGTAATCAGTACTGTTCTCCTAGTTCCAGGTCTAATGGGACAGAGGACTAAAGGCCTACATGACTTGTTATTAGATGTCTTTCATTCAATTCCTATTTATAGCAGCATCTGTGGAATTCAGTTAAATACTGTGTTCACCTCCAATTTAATTAAAGATTATTTTTCTGATCATTAAGAATCTATAGAAAACTCCAAATAGCAATAGAAGGAATCTTGAGAAGCTAAATTTTATTCAGTGACCGGCATTCTCCACTATGGAAGTCTTTGACCTTGCAAAACAATGCTTTCACTTTCCAGTACCCCGACTCCTACCCTCCAAAATGACTCAACTTTCTGTGGCCACTTGCAGTTGAAACATTTTTGGAGACTTTACAAAAAAATGTTTTAGGGAAAAATATATAAAGACGGGGAATTGGATTGTGCTACACCAAGGGTCAGCAAAATTTGGTCTGAGATCGCCAGCTGGCCTACTACCTAGTTTTTTTGTTTTGTTATTTCAAACTACCTTTTAGAATAATACGAAGTCCTCTACATTCATATCATAGCAATACTTTTTTTTATTGGGGTAAAAAACATAACAAAATTTAACATCTTAACCATTTTTAAGAGTACAGTTCAGTAGTGGTAATTGTATTGATATTGTTGGGAAACAGATCTCCAGGGCTTTTTCATTTTGGAAATGTGAAATTCTGTGTTACCAGGGAAACCTGGGTTATACAGTTTCAAAGAATTTCTTTCCTAGAAAGTGGAAATGATACACACAGATTTTCCAAGTCTTCCCTCATCCTATGCTTTCATGGTTTTTATTTTGATTGGAACACCTGGCAACCTTATCTGACCTGGCTCAGGACCGCTGAATTAATGGGTGAGACACGTACTCCCTCTCCGTCCCTACCTTGATTTGCTATCTATTCTGCCTAACACTTTGTACCCATTCAACAGCACTCACCTTTTCCTCCTCTGCCTAAGCCTCTGGTAACCACATTTCTACTTTCTGTTTATGTGGATTTGACTATTTAAATACCTCAGATAAGTAGAATAAATCATCCTACCTTTTTGTGATTGGCTTATTTTACTTAGCATAGTATCTTCAAGGTTTATCCATGTTGTAGCATGTGACAGGATTTCCTTTTTAAGTCTGAATAATATTTCAATGTATATACCACATTTATTTATCCTTTCATCTATTGGTGAGCACATGTGGGTTGCTTCCACCTCTTAGCTATTGTGAATAGTGCTTCTGTGAACATGGGTGTCCAGTATCTCTTTGAAACCCTGCTTTCAATTCTTTTGGATGTATACCCAGAAGTGGAATTTCTGGATCACATGTGAATTCTACTTTAATTTTTTGAGAAACCTCCATACAGTTTCTATAGTGGCTGCATCATTTTACAATCCTACCAATGGTGCACAAGTGTTCATATTTCTCAACATCCTTGACAACACTTGTTATTTTCTGAGGTGTTTTCTTTCTTTTCTTTCTTTTCTTTCCTTTCTTTCCTTTCTTTCCTTTCCTTCTTTCTTTCTTTCTTTTTCTTTCTTTCTTTCTTTTCAACTGTACCCTTCCTGATGGTTGTGAGGTGATAACTCATTGTGGTTTTGATGTGCATTTCTCTGATGATTAGAGATATTGAACACTTTTCCTTATACTCGTTGGACATTTGTATATAATCTTTGGAGAAATATCTGGTCAGGTCCTTTACCCATTCTTTTTGTCGTTGTTCTTGAGTGGTAGGATTCTTATTCTGGTCATTAACCCCTTATCAGATACATGATTTACAAATATTTTCTTTCATTCTGTAGGTTACCTTATTACTCTGTTGATTATGTCCTTTGAATGCAGAAAGTTTTTAAGTTTGATACATGATTTACAAATATTTTCTTCCATTCTGTAGGTTACCTTATTACTCTGTTGATTATGTCCTTTGAATGCAAAAAAGTTTTTAAGTTTGATTAAGTTGTCTAATCTTGCTGTGTTACCTGTGCTTTTGGTGTCACATCCAAGATCATTGCCTAGTTCAATGTCATGAAGCTTTCTCCTATTTTCTTCTTGGAGTTTTACATTTTTAGGTTGCCACCTGTTTTTGTATGGCCCACAAACTGAGAATGACTTGTACAGTTTTACATGGTTGCGGGGGAAATTTAAAAAAAATTTTTTGACACAGACACATTCATTCATTTACATGTTGTCTATGACTGATTTTGTACTACAAGGGCAGGACTGAGTATTTGTGACAGAGACATGTAACTCACAAAGCTTAAAAAACTTACTCTCTGACTATTTAAATAAAAAATTTGCTGACTTTTGTATTAGGCTACTTTTTCTCCTAGTTTCTTAGTATCTGAGATAGGCCAAAAAAGAAAAGGTGTAGAGTCAAGTACTCAAAACAAAGATTGTGTTGTATAAGAAGGAAAGAATATCGCCCTGGCTGGTGTGGCTCAGTGAACTGTGCTGGCCTGCAAACCTAAAGGTTACTGGTTCAATACCTAGTCAGGGTACGTGCCTGCGTTCTGGGCCAGGACCCCATTTGGGGGCAAGCTAGAGGCAGCTGATTGATATAGCCCTCACACTTCAATTTATCTCTCACACATTGATCTTTCCCTCTCTCTCTTCCTCCCTTCCCCTCTCTCTAAAAATAAATAAATAAAGTCTTGGCGGGGGGGGAAGAAGGAAAGGGATATTTAAGAAAAAGTTCTCCAAACCTTCTCTACTCTTTAAAAGCAAAATTAATAGCCAAAGG